TACGTCAGCAGAATAATTCAGTCAATCGTGTTTAATGATTTGAGGGTATTTGGTACCCATAGCTGGTGTGATCGCCGCCTTTAAAGTACTTTTATTTTGTCAGCGTGTAAGCGCGTTGTCATACGTGATCGAATAGGCAATCACTCTCTTGGAAATGGAGTTACTACCTGATCTGTAATAATCAAGATATAAAGTTTCTTTTCATTAAAACCCTGACAGACCTCGGAACACCTGTATCACATGTCACGTAGCGCCCCAAGGCAGTCATTAGTTAAGCTAATAGAACAGGCGAACGTCACATTTGCATGTTTGCTTGCATTGAATTGTGTACTCTTCGTGACAGGTCAACACGTATTTTAAGTTGTGTGTCACAATCGTTTCTTCTATTTGTATATAGGTAATTAAGTCAATGTCCTGATGTCTGCTGTAATAACTTAATCTTCGGCTCTAATTGATCTTAGCTAATAAGAGTTTGATTTCGTCGAATAGATGTGGGGTGCCCTCAATAAGACAAGATTTATTGAAAATGGTTCTCACACCGGTCTAGCTCGAGAAATGATATCCTCAAATCCCATCCGAAAAAAAATCAAAATTTTAGGGGTGCTTTGGACTTACAAATCTGTCTAGAATTCCAAACCCTAAAAGTTGCATATAACTGTCGAGTGAAGTCCATAGATGCAGTGTTTCAAGCCGGTTTGAACGGAAAATTTAACATTGGTTCATTAATTATTAAACGTTGGTTCCACCTACTGGAAAAGATTTTTATGTACTGAAATTGACGAGGTCTCAATTCGTAACTATACTGAGTTAAAGATCAACTTAAATTTCTAAAAGCAGTGAATGCATAGAAAAATTTTCACCTTCTGTAAGAGAACCATACATTTAATTTTCTTTATTTTCATACTGAAATGTGTGCAATTACTGCTTAAACAATTGCTTTCAGTTTCTCCTGAGTTTTCCTTTTACGACCACCTGTCTCCCTCGTACTAAATTATTCAAACGATAAACTTCCTTTTGTAAACAGTCTGCAATTATGATTTTTACGTTCTTTAATGGAACGGCAATAAATTACGATTCAAGTTTTTATTACCAACTAAAACCATAGGGTTTTTTTTTTCTCAATATTCAGTGCTTCTCCATCTGGAATCTCTCTTACACTACTATAAATTAACACGATCAGTTGCGCCAAAA